GAATGGCTAAAAAAGATAACCGAAACGTCTAACTTTTAGAATAAAAGAAATTTTATGTAAATGAAATATTGCGTACCTACCAATAACTACGCCGATTCCCATCTGCCTTATTTATTTATTGTATTTTTAATTCTGGGAATCTTGTTAGGTTTTTATTGTTTTTTACATTTAATTAAAGACTGATATAAAATGCTACTCAAAATAAATAAACTGAAGTGTCTTTATGATATTAACATAATCGTTAATATTGATTATTATTTATTATCGGTATCGATTATTTGAAAATTTCAAAGAATAAATCTAAGTCATTTTTTAGTGTCTTATTAAATTGTTCTTTCTTGTTATAAACAACTAAACAACTATTTTAGTGGTTGTGAGTCTCAGTGCGTTTCAATTTACGTTGATTTCTCTTTCGAATCTTAGATTGTCCGATTTATTATGGATCATTGAACTGTTCTAGAAAATCTCATGCTGTAACGTCCTACAAATTTTATATCTTGAATACCTTCGTGAAATCTAGTGCAGCCTTGTTCCTTGATGTGAAACAAATTCATGCAACACAGTTCAGTGAAGGAAAGGGCAAAAACATTGGAAACTATACACAATGAGATAAAACACATAATGTCTTACGATTAGATTTGAATCGTAGAATTACAAGTAACATTATATAATTTTATATGTAATTTTAATAATAATTAATAATTCTATAAAAGAAAAAAGGTATACCTGAACATATTTCTCAGATTTTCTCTTTCTCTCTCTCTCTCTCTTTCTCTTGCTCGCTCGCTCGCTCGCTCTCTGAATTACATAGATACACGTATACATATAATTTAAAGGGAAGAAAAAAAAATAACATAACAAAAATATGTAAAATTAATTAATTAAATTATTGTTCCATTAAACGTACAAATTTATTATAATATTTCATTATAATTAGTGTAAAGAACTTTGACTACACATGAGTTCATTTACATAAATTATATTGGAGCGGAAGCTTCAACAACAAATGTACCGTTTCTTCACAGTTCTCTTGGCTAGCATTTTATTGACCAGAGCCGATTAGCGAAATATTCTCCTTAAACGGGTCGCTTTTTCAGCGTCTCGTATTTTTATAGGCGGCAGTTGAAAATTTTCGACGAATTCTCTTATCTGCGCCCCGGCGAGGAGAAAGTATTTACGCCTGCAACCTAAACAAATATTCAACCTGAAATCTACGGTTAATTTATTTTACGACGTTCTTGACATTGGGTGTCCCCGGCGCCACCAGCATTGTACGGACGCTCTTCTGCCGTGTTATAGAACCTCTGATACTTCAATTAATTTTTTTTAATTGAGAATGCACGCGCGGACCGATAACGACACGGATGCGCATTCTGGACCAAATGTTTTAAATTATTATCAAAAAAATAAGGTGTCTTTCTGTTAATGTGACAGTATCTTTCCATTTGTACACAAACTTCTCAGACAGCACAAAAAATTAAAAGATAAATATAAAATGATACGTTTTCTAAATTATCTCTTCTACAAAGCAAAAAGATGTCTAAAAGATAACGAAAAAATGTTCTTTTTAAGGTGGTTTTATCGCGCAAGTCCCAGTCAAAAGTTAATCCTTTCATATGACTAATATTTCAATAAAAACAAGCGTAATTTAATAAAAACATTTTGCATATACTGTACATATGTGATTGTGTGACGTTTATGTGACAACGTTACACTATCGAGTTGGCGTTGAGCGATAAAACCACCTTGTTGTTTTTTAACACAACCGTTACTATACATCATATAATATACATCAAACGCCAAGGATGAGGGAAACGATGGAACACGCACAGATACGTACACGTGGTTTTAATTAGACATTGTATTATTCAATGACGATTTATGATAGTCAAGATTATATAACTGCGACAAACGTAAGAACACATCTGCGTCGATAATGTCAATTTTAATTGTAATGTGAATTTGTATGATGACTGATGAAAAATGAGTCAAATATGGGTAAAAAACATTATAATAAATTTATACAAAATTATTTTTGCTAACTTTATTTACAATATTTCGAGCGCATTGTTCGTAAGTCATAACACTCGCGAGCATCATTATCTTTGTCTAACTTTTGATAAATAACAAGGGTAAGACAATTTTTCACGAGCATTGAGAACGTTAAGTGGCACGTGGAGTATGTTTTACGAAATGGTATTGAAATAGCTGTGTCGTGCGCGTGCATGCAATAATTTTAACGCTCTCTGAGCGATATACAGAATTTTATTGCCAAACATGAATATATTCATTGATAATATAAAATAATTATTTTAATAATTAAAAAGATATTTGTAATATGTCTTTTTTGTTTTATCAAAAAAATAATTCAAAAAAAGTTAACGAAAAAAATACCTTGTTATCTTTTCGACAAAACAAAAAAAATATATTAAACATTGTTTATTCGTTTTATAGATAAGAGTTAGGCCAATAAACGAGCAAAACTATTTTGGTTAATTAATAAATACAAAAACTGATAATTTAATAATTAACGAATTGATGGAACGTTTCAGCTTACTTAGGCTGCGTTCCGATATTGACTGCCACTTTTTTAAATTATTTTTTCGATAAAATGAAAAAAGACATATTACAAATATCTTTTTAATTATTAAAATAATTATTTTATATTATCAATAAATATATTATCAATAAATATTCATGTTTGGCAATAAAATTCTGTATATCGCTCAGATAGCGTTAAAACTATTGCATGCACGCGTGCACGAGACAGCTATTCCAAATCTATTTCGTAAAACGTACTGCACGTGCCACTTGACGTTCTCAATGCTTATGAAAAATTGTTTTATCCTTGTTATTTATCAAAAATTAGACAAAGATAATGATGCTCGCGAGTGTAATGAACAACGCGCTCAAAATATTGTAAATAAAGTTAGCAAAAATAGTGTTGTATAAATTTATTATAATATTTTTTACCCATATTCAATTCATTTTTCATAAAATTAATCTAAAGTTTGAAATTATGTTGGAAAAATCGGAAAATTAATATTAAAATATTTTATAAATTGTCAAATAGATATGAACATCGTAAAAACATAAACATTTTATTAAGCTATAATTATTAATTATAAATGCTATATCTTTTAGTTTTGTGTGTGTTTTACATTATTTCATGATTTCAGTTTGTTGAAAAATAAAAATTCTGTTTCTTATTATTCTCTTTTATAAATTTATTTAATTATATTATATTAAAGTTTATAAATTTTAAATTAAGGATACATAAGCAAATTTAAGAAGAATTTTTTTTTATGAGATCAAACTTTAAGATTGACAATTTTTGAAAGTAACATTTATATTATTTTTATTGAAAGATTTAAATCTTTAATAAGATACATACGCGTTTTGTGAGAAAATTTGTCATATATTCTAATTTTCAAATAAAAATGTCCACATTTGTCTTTCAAATTTAGAGTTGCGAGGTCCAGCTTAAGGCACACTGGACTACACATAACTATCTCCGAAATATAATGAGCAGTCTTTTATTCCGTGATCGTATCGCGGTTAGCCCTTGGATCGGTATCGAGTCCAGGAGACGTGACCTCGGCTCGAAGAGCCGCCAGTGAAGCGAAAAGAATCGGAGGACGACGGCGCGACGCGGTGACGCTCGTTCTCTCACGAGTCCAGAATGCGAAACTGGTCGGATAGAGATATACATACGCTTTTATATTGGGCATTATTAATGCCGGGCCATCGTTAGTTTCAGCCCACGGCAGTAAACAATGCAAAATACGAAGGTGGCCGGACCTGTCACAATACATTTTCCCCCAAGGCTCATCGATTTTTCGTTGCCGAATACGTTGTGCTGATCAGAATTCATCCATCCGGAATTTATTTTATATATCCCAAGGAGATTATGCTATGAACGATTTAATGCAAAAGAGGCAATACTGTGCAAGAAGGGATTAGCATGGCAAGCAAAGTGTTCTTCTCTACACTCTAATTAATTTTCAAATAGAAGTCCTTTTAATATTATAATTATGAACGCGAGGAAAATTAGACACAAAGAAACGAAATTTAGGTCTAAAGTCTTTTCTTTTGAAAAAAAAAAAAAAAAAACAATGAGAACAGAATGACAAAATAAAGTGATCTGAGCAAACACTAAAAACCTGACAGTTATAATTTCCCACTCAACAATATAATATTATATTATATTATTAAATGAAAAATTACAACATATATTACATATTGGTGTTTGTTATAGGACTTGATAAGACACTAATAATAGCATTATTACGATGTAATGAAAATAACAATCGATATTTTAATAGATATAATATAATACAAGTGAATTATTTTTTTATATTTTATGTAAAGTAAGAAATATCAAAAAATAATTATTCTATTCTCTGTAACACACATTGCTCATTTGAAAAATATGTTTTTTCTTTTTTTCTTTATGTTTCATACTTTATGTACTATTGGTACAACATAATTAAAAAATTATTTTTTAGTTGCTTGCAAAAAAACGGGAATATAAAGCAAAGAAAAAACAAAGTACAAAACTTGAAAGTACATATTTTTAATCTTCTACAATCAGTTATTACATTAAAATTGAATTTCAAAATTAATATAGCAAAATTTTAATAATTCAAAACATTCAAACTAATTTTCTGGAAAACTATTTTTTTCGTTGTTACAGCATGTGAGCGCGCGATATGTTCTTTGCATGCTGCGTTCGGCAATAAGCGCGCTATCAGCATTATGTCATTATTCATTCTTATCATTAGACAAGGATGATTAAAACAAGGACAAAATATAATTCAAATAGCGCTAGCTTGCGTTATTCGAGAGTACTAAAAAGTTATAATTCACGTTACGTATACTTTAAATTTTTAATACACAATGAATATCGAAACGCATCTCTAGCACGCTCCTTAAATAATAAACAAAAAAAATTCCTCTCTCTCTCGGTCCAAAACAATCGACGGGATAGCATGAGAATTATGGAACTACACGACCGATCGGGTTGAAATATAACACGGCAAAATTGGGCAAAATCAAACGACAGGATCGTATCTGAATTTATTAGAGAATGCCAGGAGCGCGCGATCAGTTGTTCACGAAGAGTGGGAAGTCGCATAAAAGATAACGTGCCTCGCTAGCGGAGGTCAGTCGACGATTGGGTGACGGTTACGAATCACGGCTGCGGAGAACGTCAGTGAAACCGAATCATCAAAACCGAATTATTTCGTAAAGATCTGTGAAAGATCGGCGAATCAACATGCTGCGCCTGTAAGTGTCCCGTTAATTCATTAACATAACGTATACTCTTCACGGGATTAAACTCTACGAGTAAATTGACGTCGCTACAATGCGAAGAGACGCACGATATTGCTATAATTGATAATTCAAAAAATCATCAGTCATTATCAGTAATTATTACAATAAAAAGATAGATCGTATAATATTATATCTTCTTGTGTTTTACTATGTGTTATCATAAAAATTGTTTTTATTTTATAATAGTAAAATAAATTTCTGTCAATATTCCTTTTTTTTCGCGAACTTATTTAACGCCGTTTAATCATTTCGCGAAGCAAGAGTGATTATCTTTTGGTTATCCACAGTGTATTACAGGGCCGAGGTACTGTGGTTGGCATTTACATATAGATTTGTCCGGATGCACGATGACATTCATGATCTAACGAGTTAATACGCCGGACGAGTGCACTTCGCGCCTATACGAGACTTTTAAATTATTGGTCGACCTCGCGATGTCATTTAATATCGTGTTACATTCCGTCGAACAATGTTGTGTTCAAAGATATTGTTTATCAATTCAAGTTCCTTAATATTTTCAATTTGATTCATATCCAAAAGAAATGCAATTTAAAAAAAAATAAAAATTACTCTTGGAATCGATTTTTATTAATACTAGAAGTACTGAGCGATCATTTTAAGTTGACCATTTTTACTTTTTAGATTATAGAAGATATATTTTACTTACTATTAATAAAATCGATTTTTATTAATACTAGAAGTACTGAGCGGTCATTTTAAGTTGACCATTTTTACTTTTTAGATTATACATAGAAGATATATTTCTTGTGTAAAAGATAGGATTCTGAATTTTTTTCAATAATTATCTTTCAATATTGATCAATTTTTTTGTCTTTTATCTCATCCTTTTTATTTTAATAGTAATTTTTTCGCTTTGTCCTTTTAGTGAGTAAGAAATGTTAGTATTTTCAGTGTTAATACGAGATTTTTAATTTTATCTGCTTATCGAAATAAAAACATCTCGTTTTAGGGAAAACATTTTTAGAGATAAATTTTTTTGTTTTTTACCTCATCCTTTATTTTAATAGTAATTTTTTCGCTTTGTCCTTTTAGTGAGTAAAAAATGTTAATATTTCCAGTGTTAATACGAGATTTTTAATTTTATCTTATCAAAGTAAAAACATTGCGTTTTAGAAAACGTTTAGAAACATTGTAATGTTGATAAGCTAGAATATTGCAAAAACATTCAAAATAAATAGTAATCACAAAACACATTTCGTATCACGATTGAAATAATCAAAGTTGTCCACTAATTTTTTTAACGTGTTATATAAGCTTTCAGTTAAGCTGAAATATATCGCCTTATTTATAATTTCTCTAGTTATTCACGATTGTAAAAATGTAATAATTAATTTTTTCTATTTTCTATAATAATTATTAAATTATTAATAAAATGTGATTTGGTTATTAGAATCTTGGTAGCAGCAGTTGTAACCCTAGTGGCAGCCAAGCCAACGACGGAGGAGCTCTCAGTGGATCTCAGCAAAAATCAGCAGACTACAACCGAAGGTCCTCTTCAACAAACAGGCCGGGAGCTCTTGGATCGCTCCGAGGCGCTGTATGCAGAATGGAATAACAAACAGAGCAACGCCGGATGGAATTACGCGTCGAATCTGACGGATGAGAATTTGGCGGAAAAGCTGAGGGTGTCTGCGGAGGCAGCAGCTGTCATGAAGCAGGTCGCTCAAGAAGTGAACTCCTTCGATTTGGAAGACGCGCACCCCTGTGAGTTAGTCAGGAGACAGTTCAAGAAGCTCGGTGTACTCGGCCCCGCTCTTCTTCCTGAAGACGTAAGAATTAACATACAAAGAGAATGTATATATTAATTATATTTCATTTATTAATCATAAACTTTCAGCCGAAAACCGGAATTCATTTCGTTGATCCAAATTAGAACGGTTACTCTCTTTCTCTATTTCGAAGCTGCGAACTTTCGAAGCTCTTCGAAACTTTCAAAGACCTTTGAAGTTTCGAATTCTTTCGAAGCTTCGAAATTGTAAAAAATAAGATAGCTCTCTCTCTCTCTCTCTCTCTCATTCAAGTGCGACTATAAGTTAGAATAGTTGGATCACTACTGAGAGATGGTATGATTGCAGAGTTACAAAGACTTCGAGACGACGATCAGTAAGATGGAGAACATCTACAGCACGGCGAAGATCTGTGATTACAAGAACAAGAGCAAGTGCGATCTCGCGCTCGAGCCGGAGATCACCGAGCTGTTGATGAACAGCCGCGACCCCGAGGAGCTGAAGCACATCTGGGTGGAGTGGAGGAGGGCGTCGGGCGAGAAAGTCAAATCTCTGTATTCCACGTACGTCGAGCTGGCCAACACCGCGGCGAGGCTCAACAACTTCTCCGACTACGCGGAATATTGGATGAAGGATTACGAGGCTGACGATTTCCCCGAGCAAATCGGTAAGACCATCCGCGCGGCGGCTATATAGGCCGTTCAACGGGAGCACTTGATTGAGAACAGCAAAATCTGTCTGACAGAGCGCGAATGGCAAAAGTTGAGGCCGCTGTACTTACAACTGCACGCCTACGTGCGGCGCGAGCTCAGGAAGAAGTACGGCGAGGACGTCGTCTCCAAGGACGGCCCGATCCCGGCACATCTGTTGGGCAACGTCTGGGCGCAAACCTGGTCGAATATCGCGGGCTTCACCGTGCCGTTCCCGGGCAAAGAGCTGCCGGACGTTACCGCCGCTCTAGTCGAACAAGGCAGGTTTACGTTCGCAGTCTTTCGAGACTTTTCACCAACTCTTTGTTTCCCCGACTCATTTTCCTTGGCTTGGTATATATTGCCTGTTATAATGCCTCGTGGCACTTTGAGCAGGTTACAACGCGACGAGTATGTTCCGCCTCGCCGAGGACTTCTTCACGTCGATCAACCTGACCGCCATGCCGGACTTGTTCTGGGAGAAGTCGATCCTGACGAAGCAGGACGGCGTGGACATGATCTGCCACGCGAGCGCATGGGACTTCTACGACGGCAAGGATTTCAGGATCAAGCAGTGCACGCGCGTCAACATGGAGGACCTGATGACGGTGCATCACGAGATGGGCCACGTCGAGTATTATCTGCAGTACAAGGATCAGCCCACGATCTTCAAGGAGGGCGCGAATCCAGGCTTCCACGAGGCGGTCGGCGACGTTATCTCTCTCAGCGCGTCCACCCCGCGCCATCTCAAGAAGGTCGGTCTACTGAAGGACGACACGACCGACCGGGAGGCACTCCTCAATCACCTCTACGCGAAGGGTCTCGACAAGATCGTCTTCCTGCCCTTCGCTTATATGATGGACAAATGGCGCTGGAACGTGTTCCAGGGAAAAGTCACGCCCGACAATTACAATTGTAATTGGTCAGTATTTTAGATAAACAAAAAAAATCCCTTCGTACTTACTTTTTTCTTTTTTTTTAACAATATGTACCTCCTCGAATAAAAATTCAATAAATCAAATTTTCAGAAACATTAAACTTAAAAACTACTTTAAGTAAATCGGAACTTTTTTTACTTCAAGGTGGTCGCTCGCCGAGGAGTATCAGGGCATCGAACCTCCCGTGGACAGGACGGAGGAGGACTTCGATCCTGGCTCCAAGTATCACATAATCGCGGATGTCGAGTACATAAGGTATTATGTGAGCTTCGTGATACAATTCCAGTTCCACAAGGCATTGTGCACCGAGGCGAAGGAATACGATCCGAGTAATCCAGATGCCAGGCTGTTGAGTGAATGTGATATTTACAATAATAAGGATGCCGGAAATCTGTTGAAGTAAGTGCGACACGCGCGTCAACGTTATAAGAATACAATTCGAGTATCGGATCACACATTTGATCTCATTTATAGATCTATGTTGGAGTTGGGCTCTTCGAAGCCATGGCCAGATGCGATGGAGAAGATCTCAGGTCAAAGGCAAATGGATGCGGCTGGACTCTTGGAGTACTTCAAACCCTTGACCGATTGGCTGACCGAGGAAAATAAGAAAACTAACGAATACATCGGATGGAAATCCACTAAAAAGCGTACGCGTTATAAATATATAAAAATATTTCATCAAGTTTTATTGTTAATTTTATATACTACGTCATATATCTTATATCAGATATTTTTATGTGGCAATTAAGACATATAATTCTAATAGTTTTTTTTGTCATTTCAGAATGCGTACAAACGAGAGCAGAACTTGTGAACTAAAGCTAAGTATCACGATGAGCTTTTGGAGTAACCTATTCTCCATTAATGAGAAAAAATAGAAAATACAGTTTGAAACAAACGCCAAGTGTTGCGTTTTAATGCAATTAAAACTAATATATAAAAATCATTCCACGATCACGTAAACGCTCCGACCAATTCGAGTAGCGAACAATGTTCGTGATTGAAGGATTAATTTTGTGTGTTTCAAGTCTAAATAAAAACATGCATTCCATCTTTTAATATTGTTCCTATTTTGCTTTACCGCGTCCTCTTCCGCGTTTCTTAGCTGGTTCGCTCCCTTTTCTCGTCGATGTAGCAGCTTTGCTCGTACTAGCAACGGTAGTTTTTTTTGCCTAAAACATACATTACATGATTACATATATGTATATATATATATATACATTTTTTTTTTTTAAACTGATATATTTTATAATAGAATCACGAAATAATTTTTAACATTACCTTAATCATCTTATCCAAATTAATATCATCACTCTCTTCATCATCACCTTCTTCTTCCTCCATAAGATCGTTATCCTGCCTAGACCTTTTCTTTACTGTTGCAGTGCTGTTAATTGAATACGGCAGCATAGGAGGATTCTTCTGATATGCTCGCGTAAACGCTGCTTTCACCTGAGATAATCAGTGACGTTAATGTAATTAAAATTTTTATAAAACAGTAAATAACAGTTAAAATCTTTAATCATTGTTTTTATCACAATGATTAAAAATCTTAACTGTTATTAAACAGTATTTTTATTAATATTGCACATACTTTACTATCAAGATTACTCGTAGGATCGCGAATTCCTGGCCAAAGAGAAATTTCTATTGCCGAGTCCAAGTCTTCCCTAAGGAAAAATTGAATATAAGCATACGTATGTCCTCGTGCCTCTTCCAGTACATTCAATACAAATAAAATACGAACCTGGTCAAATAATATTTTCCCATAACATTCATCGCCTCTTCTATACCATCTGTACCGTTATCTATCAGAGGTTTTACGATGGCGTTTCGAATATGGGTCAGATAATCCAAATTCAGGGCGTCCTTGCTTGCGCCCGTGGCTAATCGCGTGTGCGTCGTCAGTTCTTGCATTAATCTGGAAGCAATACAGCGAACGGAGTTGCCGTCAATTCGATTTAATCGCAATAAATCGCGTTACAATAAAAAAAGAGCAGTATTCCGTTAATACCGATTAAATCTCGTGGCCTTCGAATTTCGTCCGAACCAGCTGGGGAATCGTATCAACGGATCGGAGCATCCCGCCATCTCAGTAGTCGGTATGACGAACGAGAAACAAGCGTGCATCGGAAGTAGACTCCACATCATACTGCTCCTCATCATCTTTTCAACGAGATCTCCCTGCGATATACTGTCAGCCGCGTTGCCAATTCTTTCTAGCCTCTGATGACTGCGAATGTAACACAGGTCCATTGATTATCCAGCCTTCATCGCTACAAAGGTGTGTCGTAACATACTTACGGTGACGCTTGAAATAATCTGACTCCCGGATAATTTTCTTGTACAAAAAGGGGTGCTATGTTGTAGTCATGGAAGTATAAGCCGATCTTATCGTCCAGGCTCATACTTTTCTGCCCTTCCGCATTGAACGCTTTCTTCGTGAAGTCGAACGGACCGAGCTTGAAATTCTTATTCTTATGTTTTTTACCAGTCGTTTCCACGTGAGACATGTTCTGGCTGCCGAGGAACTCGAGATGATTTATCACTTGTCGGATATCGTAATTCGTCGACTCGATTAAACGATCGAGATCCTCCGTCGAGATTTTGATGTTCTCTTTGTAGCACAGAGACTTCATAGAACTCTAGTAAAGAGGAATATCGAATTATATCGAGCGAGAAACGTTACTCGGGTTAGATTCTACAAATAAATTCTGTAAGCTGTACCCTGATCTGTTCCACTCGGAGCTTCGGATATTTCAGGTCGTAGCTGTGCGTAGAAATCGTCTTCACCTTCGTGTTAAATCGGTCGTTGCATATACAGATAACTGGCACTTCCGTGGATTTTATCAGACCAACTAATTCCTGTAGGCCACCGCGATCCTCGTTGCCGGCCATACCGTCGACCTCGTCCATCAACAGCACGTGTTTGCTCGTAATTTTTTGTTTATTACCTATAAACGTATTGCGTGTCAGACAAGAAAATGGTACGCGATTATCTCAAGAATTTAAGGGGAGATTCTGCTTTACAAGCCTAAAAAAACGGTAATTTTTAAGAATTTTTTTCAACTAAAACGAAGGTGAATAATTTCAAAAGTTTAATAGTGTTTTATTGTATATTTAAGCAATGAAAAAAAAATTTTTTTATTAATGTTTTTTTAATAAATAATAAAATATTTTGAAAACGTCGCGCTGCTGGAGTTGTTCGATTGTGTACAATCTAGGAGGCGTAATTTTTGTCTAAAGCAAAAAAAACCAATTTTTTTCTTAATTTATATAAAATTATTTTCTATATAAACTAACGAAACTTTACAAATTTTAAAAATTGGATAAGTCAAAACAATTTTTTTTTTATTAAAATTTTCATGAAAATATTTGACCTTTATTTTGCAAAAGTTGTTTAATTAAATTTTTTTTGTAATATTGTTGGCTCATATAGAAGACAATTTTACAAAAATTAAGAAAAAATTTGGTTTTATTTTAGACGAAAATTACGTCTCTTAGATTATACACAACTCCAGCGGCGCGTTACCAAGGCAGTTTATTATTGATTAAAAAACATTTATTAATAAAAAAAAATTTTTTCACTGCTCTAATATACAGTAAAACACTAAACTTTTGAAATTATTCAATTTCATTTTAGCTAAAAAAATCTTAAAAATCATTTTTTTTTAAGTCTTGTAAAGCAAAATTCCCCTTAAATAATATATGTCCACCTGTGACATAGTCCTTCATCGTGGTGTTGGATAACAGTCCCGAGACCGCTTCCTTCAGAAGCGTCTTGTTTCTCGTGTCGGAGGCGTTGAATTCCACAAGATCGTATCCCAATTCCTTACAGACAACTTGCACAGTTGTCGTTTTACCAACGCCCGGCGGACCGGACAGCAAGGCGGCTTTGAAACTTTGCCCGTGAGTTTGCTTGCCAGCTATTGAAACAGAGAAATAAAATTACAATCAGATTAATATCATTTTACCTACAGTATGATTTGATGAAAAACGACAAGATAAAAGCTGACGTACTGCCGTCTTTGAATTTGGGATCCTGACGATTTTTATGCCAATCACGCAGCCATATGTACAAATTGTGTGCACAGCTCTTCTCTCCTTGCTGACCTACAATCTGCTTCATTGTTTTCGGCCTGTACTTCTCAACAAACGGTTCTGACCCAATACTTGTTACTGTCTAGATGAATATAATAAAAACAGAGAATAAATCGCTGGAAATTGTTTTACGGGGTTAAGCCACTTTTGAGGCCTTAAAAGATACCTAAGTTTGGGATTTTTTGTAAATAGATAATTTTATTAAAAATCTATTTAGAGGACATTATTGTATATATATGAGAAAGTAAAAAAATATTTTATTTTTTTTATATCCAAAATAGCTGGCCTACTTGCGGAATCCCTTTTTTCTGTAGCTTCAAATCGGTGTACAAGATTCCAGGCACACGGTTTGACCTTAAACAAAATACCAAAGAATTTTCATTATCTACATATTAAAGACTAATAAAGTACGTAGGGGTATTTTTTTTAAATATTGATTTTTCTCAAAATGGCAATTATTTTACGAAAAATGTGTATTTTTCGCCAGTACAAGTCTTTCTTAAAATAGCTGCCATTTTGAGAAAAATCAATATTTTGAAAAATCCCAACGTACTTCATTAGTCTTTAATATGTAGATAATGAAAATTCTTTGTGTTTTTTTCCAAGGTCAAATCGTGTACTTGGAATCTTGTACACCGATAGAAAAAAAGGGATTTCACAAGTGTAGGCCAAAATGGCGCCGCCATTTTGGACATAAAAAAATATTTTTTTAATTTCTTATATATGTATAATAATGTCCTCTAAGCAGATTTTAAATAAAGTTATCCATTTACTCACAAAAAAATCCCAAACTTCAGGTATCGTTCTAAAACGTCAAAAGTGGCATGACCCCTTAAACTCTTATATTTTATGTAATTTTGTATTATTTTTGCGTGTGCATGTATGTCAAGTTAATGTCTAGATACCTTCTGTGTACTACTGCTTGTATCCGAAGCCTGCTTTGATGGTGACATTTTCGTCGTCACACTGGTTTTCATTGGTGAGGGTGGTGGCGTCTTCTTAGGTGAATCCGATACTTTTTCTTTGTTCGGCGATGGTAATTTCTCGCTCTCGAATTTCCTTAATATTTTTTTCCCGTTTGATTTCACCGACTTCGTCGCAGTTGGCTTGATACCCGTAGCTTTACCTTCCGGTCTCGTGCGAATCATCTCTAGCAGATCATCCTCGGATATTTGTTTGATGCCTAAACTACTGGCCTGAAAAATTTTATTTCATACAGATAAGAAACGAAAATGCGCATGCGCGAAACATGGTATCAGAAAATGTGAAAAACGTACTTTTGCCAATTTTGATGGGCCAGCCTCATCCCCTACTATAATATAATTCACTTTGTTCGATACCGTGTTTACAGTCCGACCACCGTACTTCCGTATTAATTCATCAACTTCCTCTCTTTCCAAGGAATCCAAAACACCAGTAATCACGAAACTCACTCCGGCCAAACAATTTTCGGCACCCTGAGATAGAAAAGATTAATTGAAAATCTGAGCTATGGAATATTAATTGAAAATCTTTCCTAATCTTGATCAAAGAACAGTCTCGACTTCATTCAGAAATATAATGTTATTGTCATATCTAAAGTCTCTTACTGTGGGGATCGCTTTTGAACCGGGATTTCTGGCGCCGCCTCTCTGAAGATACTTCTCATACATAATAGCACGCTGCTTCTTTTTCTCTATCCTCTCTTCAAATAAATCCACCGTTTTGGCTTTCTTCCTACTCGGTGACTTTTCTGTAAGGTTGTCTTCTTCGGACGCAGAGGTAATCGTTGAATTCTTCGAGTTGTCCAAACTCAATTGCTTAGAGGTCTTAGTAAACTTATCGCTTATATCTAAGTCTCCATTGAAACTACCTTTTTTCTCCTTCTGTTTTGAAGGGGAAGCGACTTTTGAATGTACATTATTTTTAATCGGAGATTTCTTCACCTCTTCAGATCTTAATTTACTCGTACTGTTAATTTTACTTTTGGAATCTTCTAAAGAACATGTTTCATGTTTTCTGCTCTTATTAGAATTCACTTCTGTAAACGTTATTCTGTTATATGTCACATATTTGAGTAACAATATTTGTTTAAAGTTTAATAAATTAGAATTATAAACATACCTGTCTTAACTGCAGCTTTGGATTTCTTAGGAGTATCCGCACTTTTGGTATTGCTCTTAGCCTTCTTCTTGTTATCCTGCAACAGGGTGTCTTGAAACACGTCCAATTGCTTAAGCACAGCATCGAAATCTTTGTCATCGTGGAACTCGGATTCCTGGAACAAATTCCAGAAAGCTGTAGAAATATTTCCTAATTTTTCTAATTTGGTAACCTGCACATGATATTTACCACTACTTGCAATTTTTTATACACTTTTGTCTCTTCTATCCTTGTTATCGGCTTCTTGCCAAATAATTCATTAGCAGGTATCACCTTGCATTTCTCGCTCTCATTTTTCTTACTTGCTTTCTTATCACATTCCACGTCATCCTCAGAGTCAGACAAGATGGAAGTTTTCTTTGTTTTTTGTACGACCTGCACAATTTAATTGCCCAAATTGACATTATTGCAAGTAACAAAGAGAATTATAGAAATAACAGGACCATGACAATAAATCGACTAGATATTCATTTGCTACGACTCAAAATTTTTCACAAATTTTCATTAAAATTTTATAATACAAATTTTGAAATACAATTTTGATGTAATATGATGATTAAACCTCTTCAAAAATATGTTCTTTTAGGGAGCATTCACATTAGGAGGGAAAGAACAGAATGAAAAGCAGCAATTGCTGCTTCCTGATTTGTCATTCTACCGATTCACACTTATTATTTATTATTTATTATTATAATGAGAAAAAAATAACTTTCTTCACTTTTTTCTAATCTTCATTCAAACATTTTTACAGAATTATGGAAATATTGTGGCAACTACCAGTGCAACTTGTAATTGCTTCTAACAAATTCTGCTTTTCAGCTCCTAATGTGAACACTCCCTTTAAAGCACACGTTGCTTTCTTTTTTCCTCTATATAGGGTAACTGTCCCTATTAGTGTGCCCTGAACCTATTAGTGTGCTTTTATATTTAAATAAGTCATAAAAATAAACTGGTACAAATAAATAGACAAAGTATTTTTTTTTCTATAAGATCGGAAGAGCA